TCTTGATGTATAAGTAGCATTTTTGTAAAACTATTTAGATACAACGACCATATGAAAATGGAAAAATAAAAAAAATCAACCACATATATCATTTCTTGTAGTAACAATGTAGTTTGAGGATTTTGATTCGACATTAATAATTTTACTTGAAGAGGACATAAACTTGATTGCTTAAATGATATCTCTTTCTGAGTTTCAAATCGAGGATAACAATATGCTTGGAGCAGATACAACAGGAAAAGTCAAATTTCCAACGAAAATGATTGCCTCCGAAGAATTATTTCTGGGTTGATACTGAATCAAATGATCTAATTAAATATGACAGAAATGATTGAAAAAAATGATAAGTAATATTGGGAGGATAAGTACAACGTAATATTGTATTTTGTTTTTTATTTTTAGTTTTCATTGTATTAGAAGTATAATTGTAAATTCGTTATGGTGTATTTATTGAAAATATATTTTAATTGTGGTACGATTATTATATAATGTACTAATTAAATTTTGTGGTGGTAATTATAATAATCGCACCACAATTAAAATATATTTTCAATAAGTACATCACAACGAATTTACAATTATACTCATAATCCAATAAAAACTAAAAATGACAAAATAAAAGTACATGGTGTACTCATCCATGAAAACATGATCAAGTAAACCGTCTTTTCCTTTCTTCTTCATGTTCCTCACCATTTTGTTTCTTTTTTCTTTTCGACAAAAAAGGTGATTTTCAACAAAAGCAACTGGTTTCATTTCATGCATATCACCAGTTGAATGATTAATAAGTTGTTGAACAAATTGTGATGGTTGAGCAACAAATACATCTTAACTTAATGGATTTCCGTAGGGTCCATCTGGAAGAGTTGAAAGCTTGAAACTGCATGTATCAAAGCAAAAATGGCATTATACCATATTAATGAGCCGAGATGAGTAGTGACAGACTTCAATATGGGCAAATCAGTAAGATATCTTGTTTAGGCATCCACACGGTCAACATAGAGGACGACATCAGGTGGGTATTCACTCATGAATTTCTTAATCGACAATAAATTTCTCCGGTCGATAGATTACTCCGTGAAAGAAGTTCTAAGACCATTTTGTATTGATTTGGTTTTGAAATCTTGGTTTTATTTATTTTTTAATCTCAAGAATATATCTTACATTTTTAACGTGTTGGTGGTAGATTAAGCCCTGGTTTGACACCCATTTTGGAGAAGAATTTAATTGGGAATACTGATTGATGGAAGAATGTGTGGTTAAAAAAGTAAGGAGAATNATGTCAAACAAGGGCTAAATATGTCTAGAAACTATTTGATGAAATTACAAAGAGAGGTTTATAATTGTTGTGGAACAATAAATTATTTTATGTGATGAATATATGAAAAATCCTTTTATGTAATTTTACTTCAGACCGTTTAAGTAAATAGAAAAAATGCTTAAAATTATGGTGTAACTAAAAAAATTCATAGTAGTAATATAATTACCCTTTTAATTTTGGTATGATTATAATATGGTATAGTAATTAAATTTTCTGGTGGTACCCTTATTCAAATCATAATTAAATTGATTTAAAATTGATGTATAAAAATATATAAATAAAATGGGGAGAAATCAATAAATATTTTTTGAAAAAAAAGTAAAATAAAGAGTCAAAATAGAGAATTATTGAACTTAAAAGAATTAATTTCTAAATTTAAAGATACTCTTTATTTTAGAGAGTTGATGCTTAAAAATAAGTTTCAAAAGACTCTCTAGTAAAAGTATTCCTAAAAGACTTTCAAAATATAAAATATTCTTTATTTTAAAGAGTCAACCATTAAAATTATGTTTTAAGAAACTTTTTAAATTAACATTTTAAAATATAGAGTGCATTTGACTATTCAAATTTGGAGAACCAAACACACTCTCTATAATTAAATGCATTCAAAATATTTCAATTTTCAATAGAGGAAAATAATATAATAATTCGAAGAGAAGCTAGCGAAGATAAAAGATAGAGAAAAATAATAAATATTTTTTTAGAAGTAGTAAAATTAAGTGTTAAATATAAATAGTTAGTTTGGAGTATTTAAAAATTTTTACTCTCTAAATTGTAAAATATACTATTTTAAAAATAGAGTTTCTTGGAAGTACCTTAACTTTTTAGAATAAAGTGTAAAATGAATATTCAAATTTGAAAAATCAAATTCACTCTATATTGATTGCATTTAGCCAATGTTTGGTGGTCATTATTTCCATTTTAAAGAGTCATGAATAGTATTTTTTAAGAGAATTTACGTTTAAAATATTTTATAGTGTGAATATGTGGTTAAAAATGATCATGTACAAAAAAAGTTTTAAAACTATGGGAATCAAACATAGGCTTAATAAATTATGAATTTAAATACTCTATTTCTTAAATTATTCAAATTATATTGGGTGGTGGAAATCTTTACAGATGAGTTTTGGAGTTTCTTGATGAGTTTGATAATGGTGGTGGAAATTTTGATGAGATTCTTAAGTGGTTCTGGCGATGGGTAGTGCTGGCGCTCACTTGGGTTTCTCTTGGATAAATTCTTGGATTTTTCTTGGATTTCAATTTAGCCTCATTTTCTACACAAATTTCTTGAGAAGTAGACTTCATTAATGACTGATTTTCCATTTCTTGGACTTTTTTTTATGCCTACTCTATGAAACCTAAGGGCAGTGACAAATTTTATTCTTGCTTCAGCCATATTTAGAATCTTCTTTCAATAAGGTTTGTTGGTGTGGAGTTTTCTTATCACTTTTTAAAGCTTTTTCCCTGAATCCTTCACCATTTTAGCTGAATTTTGGTTGTTACATGAACTAACTCCCTGCATTTTAATTGTAAATCTGAACTCTACAAGAACCATCGATGTCTATGCTTGCATTAGGTAGATGTAGCAGCGACGATGACAATGGCTGATTTTTAGGGGTGGGAGTAGGGTGTGGGTGGATAACTTTTTTATTTTTTGTGTTTATTTTAGTTCAAAATTACTATTTTACCCCTTTTAAAATTGGTCGAAGTCAATTTTTGAGTCAGTTAATGGTCAAACTAATTGTTTCTATCTATTCGGACTCCAGATGCGATTTTTTTTAAAGTTTAGTGCTGTAGGTGGCACAAATGAAAGATTTGGATAAAGTTTACAACTAAATGAAATGTTTGATACTGTTGCTGCAATTTTACCTAGGTGAATGCCGACATTTGTGGCACTCAATGGATGTACCATTCCCGTACATAATCATTTGTGTAAGTTGACTCATAAGAAAAACATTAAGTCCATGTTTGATGGAATTAAAATCCAAATTTTAGTAATTTTTGATAAAAATTAATGAAATATATGATTGAAAAGTTATGGATCACATGAAATGTTTAATTGGAATTAATTGTTGA